AGTCACATAGCCCCTTTCATTTCATTTTAGAAATAACCTATCTTTCTCTCTTAAGACAATTATATATCACTTCTGTTTTCGTATTGTTGTGCTTTAGGCACATGTCGAGCCAACTCAGCCTAAGTGTAAATTTAAGTTTCATGGTCTTCCTTTTTTCTTTCTTTCTTTCTCTCTATTTATCCCTCTCTCTCTCCTTTTCCTCTTTCCTCTATCTTCTTCTCTTGTACATTATTCTCTCTCTTCTTCTCATATGTCTGTGTGTAACATGCGTTACCCCCACGTGTGACATCGCACATAAATGCCAGTTGGAGATTCCCCATCTAAATACATGTATTGATCTCGATTTAAAAAAATCTTTCTCATTAATTCTATTAGCGATATTTCTAATACTCACACTAATCTCCAGCTAAAACAAAAATCGTCTACTTTCTCTCAAGACAACATTATATAAAGGATTCATTAATGCAAGGCTATTTGGCGAGTCATCTCTCAATGTCAATAACTTCTTGCTTTCCTCATCTCCCAGTCTCCCTTGCTTTTATATTCCTCGTTACTTCCTTCCAATTGATCTCCAACTTAATTGATTTCTCCACATCTCCATATATTCCAGTTTATGCACTGTATCTATTCTTCAATTTCGGGTATATCAATGCAAATATTACTCAAAATCCATTATATAAATCACACTCAGGCAGGGGCATCGCCAAAAGGGGGGGGGGGGTGCGACACCTTTTTTTCTTTTTCCCGACGGCAGCGCAATTTTACCGACAATATACTGACAGGTGGGGGGGGGGGTGTGGGGGGGTGCGACCCCCCCCCCCCCCCACACACCCCCACCTGTCAGTATATTGTCGGTAAAATTGCGCTGCCGTCGGGAAAAGAGAAAAGGGGGAGGGAAAAAAAGAGAGGGGAAAAAAGAGAGGGAAAAAGAGAGGGAAAAAAGAGAGGGAAAAAAGAGAGGGAAAAAAGAGAGGGGAAAAAGAGAGGGAAAGGGAAATAAAATAAAAAATAAAATGAAAAGAAAAGAAAGAAAGGAAAAGAAAGGAAAAGAAAGGAAAGAAAGAGAAAAAAGAAAAAGAGGGAGGAGAGGAAAGAAAGGAAAAGAAAGAAAAGAAAGAAAAAAAGAAGAAAAAAGAGTGAAAGGGAAACAAAAGAAACGGGGAGTGAAAGAGAGAAGAGATAGGGGAGGTAAGAGTCTGAGAGAGGAGGAGTGGGAGTAAAAGAGAGAAGGGGGTTGTTGGGTGGAGTCGTTTCGTCGAGGGAGCAAGAAAGACACGGGTAACTATGTTGCTGTGTCGGGTCAGCTGTGTCGGTGTTCTTGCTCGATCCTCGTGTACTATATCAATCCAGAAGTTTGAAGTCGGTGAGATGTATATTGTCGGTCGGCCGACAAGTTTTTTTCCCTACGAACTGTGACTTCTTATCCGCTGTGACGACTTCCAGAGTGACTACAACTACAATACTTGTATTTTCTCGAAGTTTCACTTTCCTATAATATCAGCTAAAGAAATCAGAGGTTTAAAATTTTCGGGGAAACTAAATTCAAAAAAGGTTTAAGAATCGAAAACGGTACGACGAATCGTCTTCTTTCTCTAATAATGTAATGAAACGTCAAAACTTCCGCGGGGAAGCTTCATTCGGATTAAGAGTCGAGAACAGTACACCGAATCGTCTGCTTTTTCTCATAATTTAATGAAATGTCAAAGCTTCCACGCTTCGCGCGGGAGGGGGAGAAACTGAATTTCGACACGGATTAAGAGTCGAGAACAGTACACCGAATCGTCTGCTTTTTCTCATAATTTAATGAAACGTCAAAGCTTCCGCGCTTTGCGCGGGAGGGGGGAACTGAATTCAGACAAGGATAAACAGTCGAGAACGGTACAGCAAACCGTCTTCTTTTAATAATAATTTAATGAAACGTCATAGCTTTCGCGCTTCGCGCGGGAGGGGTGGGGGAAACTTCATTCAGCCAAGGATTAACAGTCGAAAACGGTACCATTAATCGTCTTATTTTCCTAATAATTTAAGGAAACGTCTAACCTTCCGCGCTTCGCGCGGGAGGCCCATCACCCACACCCCCGTAATGAGCGCGCTTTTAAGTGATTCTCTTGCTCACTACCACCCCTCCCTCAAATAAGATCCTAGCTCCGCGCCTGCATTAATATATATAGCTATGATGCTGACTAAATTGAAGAAATAATTCGTATATTTATGTCGTCGAGAAAAATGACCATTTTGCGCATATGCAAGTACTATAGTCCATAGGAACAACAATTTAGCCTTCGGCCCCAGGTTTATAGGGTTGAATTTGTAGATATTGGACATTTAATTTTGTCCTTATTGGTGGCTAGTTTTGTCGGTAATCGTTGGCCTCTATACCCCCCCCCCCCCCCCCCACTGAAAATGGTCTAGCGACGCCCCTGCACTCAGGAAACGGCCAATTGACGAGAATTGCTTCAATCTATATTTTTCATGTATCATTAATATATGGTTTTACAATGGCTATGGTGATGAGATGTCTTGGTAATATGTTGAAGTGTTTGTTACATTTGAAGATTAGAAACACAAACAGGTTCCATAACCATTCAAGTGTTTCAAGACAAAGTTAAGCAAACTTTGTCCTTGATGTAAATTCACACTAGCGTGTAGCACTCGCGAGCTCTCCGATCCAGTCCTAGACTCTTCGCGAGCGGTTTCATTGGAATTAATCAAGAAACTCCCCTCTCTAGCGTGTAAATAAAAAATACGCCTCCGGGAACGGGGGTACCGCATGCGTGTTCCCACAATATCCGGCTCGTAACAAAGAAAAAGATCTGCCCGTATTGACTTTACACACCGGACTTTTGCTGAAAGGGGGGGGGGGGGGTGCTGGGAACACGCATATGCAGGAGCGTACGCAGGGGGGGGGGGTTGGAAGTTGGGGTTAACCCCCCCTTCATTTTTTTGTCACAAAGATTCTAAGTCAAACTTAACTCTAAGTTGGACTTAACAATTATGGAAAGCCGTTTGCATCTTTGAAAATATTTTGTTAAAGTTACTTTTAGAGGCATAAAATGTTGATTAAATTCATTCATATTTTCTATTATCAAGGAGATTTCATGTTCTTGATGTGGAATTTATGAAAAGTCTAAAATACTTTAATTTCTGCTTTTTATTATATTTTATTTTAAGGCTACAAATGTCTCTCCATATTTTTTAAGTCCAACATAGAGTTAAGTTCTACTTAAGATCTTTGTGAAACACCCCCTGGAAGGATTCGATACCTATATGTCATTATGTGTGTAAAAAGACCCCCAAAAGGTGGTCTAGGTATGATACATTTAGAATCAAAGGTTCGGTCGCTTAAGATATCGTTGATAAGTAGGTTACTACAAGAAAGTGAACGTGGTGGAAACTTCTTTTTAGATATTAGCTCTCTAAAGTTGGAGAGATCCCTTTATATTTTTAATATAATATTTCTTTGAAAGATATCGATCATCTTTGTAAAAAAAAGTAACCTAGTTTCTATTTTTACTTTCTATGTATTTGGTCAATGATATGGTATGTCGGTTTATTTGAAGTAAAAAATATTGAAAAATTAAATTCTATGTAACAATAGTAATACAATATTTAATAATCATAATGTTGATATTCAACAATTTGAAACAGACTGGTATAGTGAGAGTAGAAAATGTGATGAGAGACGGTAAATGGAAGGAACCACACATAGGAGCATCACTATCCTGGCTGTGTAGTAAAAGCTGTGCTTTTGATTCTCAACATTTCAAACACCACTGTACAAAACTCAACTGATTTCACTCAAAATCAGTACTTTAGTGACAATTGATGACACCTAAATAGCAGTAAAATACATTTATTTCAACTTACTGATGTTAACAAGAAAAATTTAAAAATTAAAATTGTAAGTCTAGTGGCTTACAGCTGCATCGACATGATTGTGTACAGTCTATGCGATATTGTGTGGTGTGTGTATTTGTGTATAGACTTCTAGGTCACTGCCTCACAGCATGTATGCAGTGCTAGAGGTCAATACGCTTTAGCATTGACTCTCTATGCTTTACTGGAGTTGAAGGAACCGTGTATTCTAAACAACTCAATTTATTCCTCTCAGTTATTATTTGATGTGAAATATGCAATCCTTTCCTGTTTACTTTTTGAATAAGATGAGATCTAGAAAAAATAACATTGAATGCAAACGAAAGGAAGATGATTTAATCACACTTAAAACAGGAGATGATATAACTCTTCTATAACTACAACAACAACAAATCAATATTGAGTGCATGAGTTTTTGAAGAACCGTCAACTATATCATTTTGGTCTAATGTTTTGTCATTAATTACCAGACTCCTTCAGCTGGAATTTTTGTCCCAGTTTCAAATGTGTACAATTAGGGATAACAGGATATGTTCAATCTTATTTTCAACATAGCACAGTATATACAATCTATCGAAATTATATAAAATGTACATTCAAAGATAAAAAAATACAACTCAAATCCTTTATGGATTTTAAGTTCATGGTGAAATCATATTTGTAAAGTGTAAGTAACTATAAATTTGGAACAGAAGGTGAAATTCAAAAAATTCTATCAATGGTTGATGTAAAACTTTGATTGTGTTTAAAATTGTATGTATAGGGCCTATATGATTGTTGTTGCTAATAAATACCTCGAAAGCGGATAAGGACGAAGAAAATTCATAGTTAGGCATGGAGATTTTTCAACAAGTTAGAGCTGAGAAGGATATTTTGAATGTATGTGTGTATGTATATGTGTGTTTGTATCATGTTATTTTAAAGTTTTTAAACTGTATAATTTATGTGTAGTAAGTAGTTTCTTTTTCTTTTTAAGGCCCCACCACAAGCAATTTGCTTCTTAGGGTGTCCTTTACCGTATTATGTTTACTATATTACTCATTTGTATGTACATGTTTCATTTTTATGGTTAAATAAACTGAATTGAGATGTAAATGAGAATAGATAGTAAACTTCAGGCTAACCTTGTTGTTCAGTTCCACCCTGATTTATGATGATATCACCACCACCACCACCTCTCCCAAGGTTCACTGCGGCGATGACGAGAGCGACGATCCCGATGATCAGCCCAATGGCGAGAATAACGATGAGTAATGACGACGACGACTGCGGCGATTCATTTTTCTTCGGCTCCTCTTTAATGATAGCTCTAACATCAGAAACACTACTCAGCTCAACATCTTTGCTTGACATGGTTATTTTATATCACGGGCCTATTTTCCAGCAGAAAATCTTCAGCTTGCTCTGAGAAATCTTTGTTGGGGATAACACTATAGTTCATCAAAATGTGCAGTTAGAATATGATGGTAATGATACAGCGGCTAGCTGGACACACCCACCTGTGCACTTGTTTTTCCTTCGAGTCGAAGATCCCTGGTATTCGGTTTATTGTTCCCAACTGCTCTCTTTTCATACTCGATATGCTATTGAAATCTAGCTCACTAAAGCTACAGGAAAGTTTGAGGCAGTGGCGGATCCAGGGCCCGGGCCCCCCCCCCCCCTTGAGAAAAAAAATCATGCAAAATCACGCGATTTTTACCTTTTTCGGGGTTGGCCCCCCCTCCCCTGGCGCTCAAGGGGGGGGGGGGGGGGGGGGTGCAAATTTTTAAAATTTTCGAGGACCAAAAAAAAATTGTGCTCACTACCCCCCCCCCCCCCCCCCCCCCCCCCCCCCCCCCCCCCCCCCCCCCCCCACTGCGACTTTTCGGGTGGCTAAGTCGTTGCGATTTTTTGGGAAACTCCAAAAAAAAAAAAAAAAAATTGTCCGCTTACCCCCCCCCCCCCCCCCCCCCCCCCCAAAGAGTGACACGTATGACCGTTACCACCAATGCATATAACCCCCTTTTGCGGTCAATTTCAAGGACATTTTGTGAAATTTAACCCCCTTTTTTACGTCAAAACAAGGGCAAAATCGTACTTTGGAATACCCCTATTTATAAGATTGTAAGGACACTTTCGCAAATTTACCCCTATTTTACCATATTTCAAGGACAAGACTCGGCTCCGAGAATTTTTCTTCCCGGTTTTCTCTTTTCCCTTCCCGGTTTTCTCTTTTCCCTTTTCCTGACCCCTATTTATCAATTTCGGGGACAAGTGTGCCCCCCTATTTTCTTTATTTCGAGGAATATTTTGTCCGCGGACATTGCTTGAAATTGACCCCTTTTTCCGCGATTTTGGTAACGGTCATGCGGTCCGGAAGTCACATTGAGTGACCCCACCGGGCAAACCTCCTTTTGTGAATTCGGGCCAATAGGTCTATGCTACGATCGACGTCCTTTTAATGCACTGCCCTGAATGGACGTCACATCAGTCCGCGCAAATGTAAAAGTCCGTATTGTTGCCTAGCTCCTGTGGGTGTGGTGCAGGCAAGTTCAGTGTGCACTCAGGCCTCTCTTGCAATGGCTTGAGTGCACGCTGGACAATAAAATTGGGGTGTTGCATCATCTAAAATCGATTTCGATTTCAAGAATCAATTTAAGGGCTTAGTGAAACACCCCCTGGCCTTGGGTTCGGTTGCAGGAGGTGACAGCTTTCACATTACTGGAAAAGGATTACTGCAGAGAAGTCACAAGTGGTGCTTTTTTGTTGTTGGTAATATAAAAAAAAATTATATATATATTTTTAGTAAGATATCACACCCCCCCCCCCCCCCCCACTGAGCGAGATATTGGTCGGCACAATTTTCTCATTTTCGGGGTCAAATACGAAGGAAAAAAAGATTATGCTAACTACCGCCCCCCCCCCCCCCCCCCCACTGAGCGAGATATTGGTCGGCGCGATTTTCACATTTTTAGGCCCCCCCTATCGGCAAATCCTGGATCCGCCATTGGCGGAGCGACTTCCAAAGTGGAGGGGGGGGGGGCAACATAAAAGGGCACTTTCTGGAGAGAAAAAAGGGCACTTACAAAATTTTAAAATTTGTGTCTCATTTTACATGTTACAAGATATTGCTTTAAGCTTCATACTTTGCAGTTGGGTGTGATGGTGTGAATATTCATCGGCGAGCGAACGAACCGAGCGATGACAATTTTTATGATTTGTGAGGTTGCAATGCGAACATTACATCTTATAACGAGTAAAAAAAGAAAAATCCTGGTTGGGGGGGGGGGCGTATAAGCACATTCTCATAACGGAAGACTGAAAAGACCTTTGCTAAATAACATAATTATATCATCTATGAATGCGAGTGAGCGAGCTTTTGGATATACAAATAATCAAATTTTTACCCAATAAATGATGACCTTCGGGGCCGGACCCACCCCCACCCCCTACTTCGGGAACGGAGGGACCGCATGTGTGTTCCGAAAATCTCCGGCTCCTAACAAAAGAAAAAGGTCTACCCGTATTGACTTTACACGCCGGACTTATGCTGAAAGGGGGGGGGGTGTGCTGAAAAGGCTCGTATATACTAGGGACTTTCTAGATTTGCACAACCACAACGTGGACTGCTACGATCGATGTCCTTTTAATGCACTGCCTTGAATGGACGTCACATGTATAAGTCCACGCAAATCTAAAAGTCCCTAATAAAAGGAAAAGGTCTACCCGTATTGACTTTACACATCGGACTTATGCTGAAGGGGGGGATGCTTGGAACACGCATATGCGTACCCTAAATAACACTGAGGGGGGGGGGGGGGGGCTTTGGACAGATACCGAAATCTTCACCAAACTATTTACATTCACCCTTTATTGTCTGATAAGATTTCTATATTGGAAGGAATCCACTTTGCAAACACAAGTTGTTGATGAATCGGGCAAACCTCCGACAAGCGCGCGGGTCACTGTGATAAAATTGTTGCTCTAGTAAATGCATGAAAGTTGAATAACTTACTAGACTTGTCGATTCTGGTTGAAACCGAGACTCCAATCGACCACAATGTATTCACTGATTAAATGTCTAGATTAATCACTTCACCAATAGATATTTTTTTTAAAATGCTTTTCGCCGGTATAGCCCTGAATAACAAAAGGCCATTTTCGTATTTTTGTAACCAAATTTAATACACAAGTCTTTGTGAAGTACCTCAATACAAATTATTTAATTCACCTGATCAAAATAACAGTATTTCAATAGTCAGAATGCAAACTGCATATATTAAGTGTTGCTAGGTAGGGCAAGCAATAACTAATGTATGCAGTTCGGATTCTGTCTTTTGAAATACAATTATTCTCATCAGGTGAATGAAATCGTTTTTATTGAGGCACTTCACAAAAACGTATGCATTAAATTTCGTTGCATTACAAAATTATTGCCTATTTCTTTGTGACCCGCATTCTAACTATTGAATAGAAAAGGACATTACACGTGTATATCAATAATCATCAGCACGTTTAAAGTAGCTCCTGTAATCGTAAATAGATGAATTACTGGCATTATTCGTATTTAAGTTATTAAGAACGCAGATTGTGTATGGTACTAGAGATTTTTATTTGGCCAATATGACCAGCATGACAGCCTCAAGGAGACCTCAAATCGGTACAAGCACACCATTACCAGATTCTCTGACGCCGAATACCCCCTCAATATATAAACTGTTATTATACTAGCCCATTTCCTACGAAACTACACTTGACCTGTAACTATCAGATGGCGGCCATTTTGGATTTGACCAAAATAACCAGTAAGGCAGCCCCAAGGAGACCTTAAATCAATGAAAGAACATCAAAATCAGATTCTCTGACCCCCAAAACCCTATAAATATATAAACTAGTATCATACAAGCGCTTTTCCTTTTGGAACTACGCTTGACCTTCAACTCAGAAGGCGGTCATTTTGGATTTGCCCAATATGGCAGTCCCAGAGAGCGCCCTTCTTGGCGTCCGGCAGAAATCGTAAAAGTATGGTATAATCTACCTCTGTGCCAAATTTGGTGCTTTTAGAAGAATCTGCACCAAAATATCCCTAACAGCCCCCACTATTATGACCATTAATAAGGGAATGTGCGTCCGTTCAAGATTAATGTCTGTGCGCGCGAGCTCTTGTAATACATAGCATATATGGTCAACAGCATATGCCTATACAAATCCCTTCTGGCTCTTTGGGATGCACGGGAACCCTCATATTTTGTTCATATTCGGATAGAATATGAGTCGGAGATGTGATTTCATGTCTCATTTGGCCATTAAGTATATCGTGTCATCATCATATTAACCTTAGAACTCAAAATACGAATTTGCATATTATGACGTCAGCATATTTATGAAAAATTGACTGTATCTCTGTAAATGTTGATTGATTCTCTTCATAATGTTGATATATTGTAGTTGAGGCAATTGTCTTCAAGATCACTACACATTATTTTTCATTTTGATGACGTCATCATAGTGAAAATTGCGATTAAAGGTAACTTGACAGATTTTCTTCATTTGCTCGTTAAGCCTATGGGAGGTGCCAATTTCGTTCAAATCATGGATCTACATGACATTAATCTTTGAGCACTATATAGCTTATTTGTGCTCTATGTTCTCCCAAATGTTGGTATGTTATAGCTGAGACGATGGGCTATAAAAGTTGTGTCTTTGGTTTTTTTATCAGATGGTGGGATCATGTCGAGATTTTCAAATGAATGCTGAATTCGCAAATTCTGTAGAACATTGCAGGAATTATGCATATGTCACGTATGTCCTATTTGTGGAATTTAAACGTTAGCAGTTTCCTAGTATTCAAATTAAACAAGGAAACCCCTTTACTTTCTAGACTTTACTGTCAGGCACTACTGAGTGACTGACCGACTTTTTTTCCTCTGGTAATAAAATACATAAAATGAGCTTAAAAGGTACTTGAGCATTTGTCCACATCAATAACCCACTTCTTGTAATGGCTCAAAATAAACTGATTTAATCTATGCGCAGTACAATATAGGTAAAACATGACGGGTAGAGAATTTCATGGAAGAAGATGAAATTGTGAAAATGCATTCTTCTTTACGTCAATCAGGGTCAAAGGTGTAACTGCTTATATTGTACGGGGTCAATGTTCATATATTGTCTCAATCTACACTGTCGCTCATAAAGGTGGAATATTTTTGGTTTACCCCAATTTACGGAATTATTTTAAAAATAATTTAAAAATAACAGATCTAGATAATAGTATACATTATCAGATTTTATCGAATAATAATTTGACAATGTGTGTTTTGCGTGACTGCTAAAGCATGTGTATGCTACTATGCTTATCAAATAGGGGACCTACGCCCTTAAGTCATAAATGACAGTAATGAGGATTAATGCCCCACAAAAGGGCACTAATATAGCACATCGACACGGTTTTGATCCTGGGGCCTTACAGTTACGAGGCCATTGCTTTGTCACTGAACCATGACTGCACGCAGCGGGGGCTAGGGTAGGGGACAGTTTCCATAAATTAAAAAAAACACAGAAAATGCAATAAATTTTCAATAATTTATTGCATTTTACCCCGGTCCC